CGAACATACAATGGTAGGTCCAAGTGTATCTGAAAGACAAAAACATGTTAAGGATAGAAAAAATAATTACAAATACAAAACAGGTTGAGCAGAGTAGGTAAAGACAGTAGCAGAGTGAAAATTGTGGTCAGTTTGTCCTCCAGCAGTCTAAGCCTATAACAGCATAACTAAGGGACAGCTCAGGAAACTCAAGCCGACACTAACTATAGGATTTAGCAAAAAGGAAAGTCTTAAGTCGAGTTTTAAAACTGGATGATGTGTCAGCCTCACGGACACAAGTAAACCTGCAGTCTGAGAGCGAAGTGCTCTGTTAGGAAAATATGGAACAATAAGATCTCTAATATAAGATGGAGCTAGGTTGTTGAGAGCTTTGTAGGTTAGAAGAAAGATTTTGAATTCTATTCTGGATTTGACAGGGAGCCAATGGAGAGAAACTAAAACTAGAGAAATATGATCTCTCCCACTAACTCCAGTTAAGACTCTGGTAGCAGCATTTTGGATAAATTGAAGACGTTTTAAAGAAGTTGTTGGACACCCAGATAATAAACCATTGCAATAGTCCAGTCTAGACGTGACAAATGCATGGACCAGTTTTTCTGCATCATTTTTAGATGTTTCTAATTTCAGTGATAATACGCAGGTGGAAGAAGGCAGTTCTAGTAACGTTTTTAATGTGGGAGATAAAAGACATGCCCTGATCAAAAATAACTCCAAGATTTTTAACATTAGAGCTGGAGGACAGATTAATGCCATCTAAGGAGGGAGAAAGACTGAATAATTAATTTATAAAGTGCTCACGTCCAAAAACCAAAACCTCAGTCTTTGTGTTCAACAGGAGAAAATTAAGGGTCATCCAGGTTTTTGTCTTTAAGACGTGCTTGTAGTCTGAGTAGCTGATTGTATTCATTGGGTTTAATGGGCAAAAGAGAACCCAGTGAAACAAATGAGACAAAAATATTATACTTGGTCATTTATTTACTGAGGGAAATGATCCAATATTACACACAGTATTTGTGAGTGGTAAAAGTATGTGAACCTTTGATTTCAGTATCTGGTGTGACCCTCCTTTGTATCAATAACTACAACTAAACATTTCTAGTAACTGTTGATCAGTCCTGCACACCAGCTTGGAGGAGTTTTAGTCCATTCCTCTGTACAGAACAGCTTCAACTCTGGATGTTGGTGGTTTCCTCACTTTAACTGCTGCTTCAGGTTCTTCCACAACATCTGGACTGGATTAAGGTCAAGACTTTGACTTGGTCATTCTAAAACATGAACTTTATTCTTCCTGAACCATTCTTCAGTAGAACCACTTGTGTGCTGAGGGTCATTGTCTCGCTGCATGACCCACCTTCTCTTAGATCCAGTTCATGGACAGATGTTCTGACATTTTCCTCCATAATCCTCTGATATAATTCAGAATTCATTGTTCCATCATCCGGCCCAGATGCAGCAAAACAGACCCAAACCATGATACTACCACCACCATGTTTCACAGATGGATCAGGTTCTTCTGCAGGAATGCAGTTTTCATTTCTCCAAACAGAACTCTTTTCATTTAAACTAAAAAGTTCTGCTTTGGTCTCGTCAACCACAAAACATTCTTCCAACAGTCTTCTGGTTTGTCCACGTGATCTTTAACAAACTGCAGATGAGCAGCCATGTTCTTGTTGAAGAGCAGTGGTTTCTCCTTCAACCCTGCCATGAACCATTAATGTTCAGAGTTCTCCTGATGGTGGACTCATGAACATCAACATCAGTCAATGTGAGAGAGACCTTCAGGTGGTAGAAGTTACCCCGGGCTCCTTTGTGACCTCACAGACTCTTCCACACCTTGGACTGATCTTTGTTGGTCCACCACTCCTGTGGAGGGAACAATGGTCTTGATGTTCCTCCATTCGTCCACAATCTGTCTGACTGTGGAGTCCAAACTCTTTACAGATGTTTTGTAACTTTTTCCAGCTGATGAGCATCAACAACTGTTTTTCTGAGCTCCTCAGAAATCTCCTTTGTTCCTCCATGATCCACTTCCACAAACATGTTGAGAAGATCAGACTTTGATAGATCCTGTTCTTTAAAGGAGCCTGGTTCTGCTGGTTGTTTCTTCATTTTAAAAGGGAGTTTTTCTTTCCACTGTTGCCTCTGTGCTTGCTCAGGATGGGAGACTGCAACAAAGCCAAGATTCATCTTGTCTGCTGGATTCCTTAGAGAAATTTACTAATTGGCTTTTATGTGAATGTTCCTGTAAAGTGCCCTGAGACAACTTTGTTGTGATTTGGCACTATATAAATAAACTGAATTGAATTAAATCAGTGCCCACGCACACCTGATCATCATTCAATTCAATTCAATTCAATTCAAAAATACTTTATTAATCCCAAAGGGAAATTATTTATTGTTGTAACTCGTTATCCTCATTTCATCAAGAGATGTTACAGATACTGAGGGTGTAGACAGGAAGGATCTCTTGTAAAGGTCCATCCCACAGTGTCGGCTGGCCTCTCGCTTCCTCCAGGCTGTAGGACCGTCTGAATGCCGGGCAGAACTCCTCCCAGCAGTCTGCCGAGCTCCTCATCGCTGCTGACAGACAACTGTAGGTGCCGAGGGACGATCCTGTCCTTCTGCTGTCATGAGCCGTGTTTCCTGCTAGTTCCAGGATCTCAGCGGTCAGGCACTCGAGTGCAGCTGGCAGGTAGATGAGAATGCATCCACAGAACATCCTTTCAACTCATTTGACATTTGGGGCTGTAGTTGAGATATTATTTGAGCTTTTGAGATGTTAATCAGCTGCTGTTGTTGTAGAAAACTGCCTTGTTGCCGTGGTTACGCATCATAACAAATATCCAAAACTAAAAAAAGTTTCAGTAAAAATCCTTCCAGCTGCACAGCATCTGATACCAGAGGAAACAATCATCCAAAAATATGTGATGACTTACATCCAGAAAAAGAGGAATTAAAGTTTCCAAAAGTAAAATCTCAGAATGAAAGTAACAGAGCTGCTCCAACATGCAGCCACCTGGAGCGGCGCAATTCTGGAACAATTTCATCATCCATTGATTGAAAACACACGACTCTAATCTCACCTTCAGATTAACTAATAATCCTAGAGGTTCACATACTTTTACCACAAATATGTAATATTGGATCAGTTTCCTCAATAAATAAATGACCAAGTATAATATTTGTTTAACTGGGTTCTCTTTATTTACTTTTAGGACTTGTGTGAAAATCTGATGATGTTTTAGGTCATTTCTACAGAAAATGTTTACGGCTTCACAAACTTTCAAGCATCACTGTAAACTCTGCTTAATGATTCAAAGAATGAAATTGTGCATAAAAGTGATCAAAGTGAGTTTTCTCCAGCGTGGCTGGACTCTTCCTGAAAGAGCTGGAAGAGGCAACTGGAAAGAGACGAGTGGGCCTCATGCTCACGCTGCTGCTCCTGCGACTCAACTCAGAAACAATCGGACTATAACGGATGAAAGGACAGAACAAAAACCCTGCAATCCATTTCTGTCCTTTGTTAAATGTAAATTGTCAGATCATCATCATGAAGAGCAGTGATGTGGCTTGATGTGTATATACTAACATGCAACAATTTTTATTCCTCATCTTATTTGATCTTAACCTTTATTTGTATTAAAAAGTGTACTGCCATGTCACAGGTAGATGCCAAGGTGGGAGGTGTTTTTTTTGTTTTGTTTAAGTTTTGTAAAAACAAGAAGTGTTAAAATATCTGAAATTAATTTTCTCCCAAATCCCTGCAGAATGATTAACTCCAAATCCTTGACTTTTTATTTCTGAGCTCAGAACACTCTTTCTGCCTGTCTCATTATGAATGTTGTGAGACTGTGACAAGTAGGTGTTACCACGGGGACTTAGATGAGCTACTGGCAGAAGTTTAGATCTTGTTTTCTTGTAGTTCATATTAAAACGTCAGCTTTTTCTTAGTATAGAAATCACAAATTATCATGCTTTAGAATCTAAAGTGGAGATAAAATTAGGTTTAGAACCAGCCACCGCATTTTATGTGAATGCAACAACGGTAGAAGAAATCCTGAGGTGGAGAAGCAGTTGTGTTCAGGTTTTGTTGAGCCAGCTAACATCAAGTACAGCTATGTGGAATTTGTGTCACGATACCTCCCACCTCAAGTTAGAGTCAATATGCAAAGTTTAAGCAGATACATTCGTCCCTCGGTACTCCGCAGTTCAACTTTTTCAGTTTTCAACGTGAGATTGAACACGACGCACGACGGTCAGCATAATATGACTCGTGATTGGGACGGTAAGGGATGAAAAGTTAACGAGAGTAGACTACAGCAGGAACCAATAGGTCAAAAAACAAACGACAAAAACAAATAAAACTTCAGACAGGTGCTGTCATTTTGAAGTTTTCTTCCAATAAGCCTATATACTGTAACACACGACAAAAGAACTACACATCCCAGAAGCCAGCAGTGCTTCCAGCCGCTGCTTCCTGATGAAACTCAGAACAGCAGTGGAGGGAGCAAACACGAGCGGAGAAACTGATGTGGCAAAAATAGATTTTCAACTTAAAGTCAGAAGTAACGATCCATGTTAAACTCAGAACTGGCAGGACAGTCGCAAATAATCCTGAAGCTGAACTTCAAGTTGTAGCATCTTCACTGGTGAGTACTCATAAAATGTTGCAGTACTGTACAGTACTTATACGTATGTTGTTAAATCTACGTAGGTTTTAGAGTTTAGAACATTGCAAGAGTGTAAGAATTTTATTTTAGTATTTACATAGTTTAAGTCTTATAAGACTTAAACTATGTAAATACTAAAATAAATATAGCAGTCCTACTTTGCAGATTTTCACTTTCCGCGGGGGTGTCTGGAATGTAACCCCCGCGCTGTATTTCTATACTGAAGTGGGGCAACGACCTGACAGAGCTGGTGACTGAGACAAAACAAGCTTAAGATGAGAGGACTACTGAAAAAATATTTCCAATACCTAAAAATTACATCACTTACAGATTTATTAGCATTTGTCTTCCTCTATGCCATACATGATAAATCATTTAAGTCTTTGCAAAATTAAAGTTCTCAGAAATGTACATCTTCATTTTCTCTAGGAAAACGTCCTTTCCTGCAGAAACAGCTCATCTCCCAGTCGTCAAAGTTCGACTCTCCGAACGCGTCTTAAACTAAAAACAAGGAGGGGAGGCGTGAAACATTAGGCTCTGCATGAATACAAGAACTTGGCAAATGTTATATACAAACAGGAAGTGCAGAGGAGAGTACGTTCTGTGCTTCCAAGTGGACAGATCAGCGAGCGCCACTGTTCCATAATGCTGTTAAAACAGGACGAACTGCAGAACATCATCACATTTAAAAGGATATTTTGGGATGTGAGGGGCAGCCTTTGTTTGGGTTTATACAGATGCAAAAAGAAAATGTTCAGTTTCAGAGCTGCCTCAGAAATTAAGCAACAGATTCAGACTACCCTCGGACCCTGCTCTGAGAACAAACAAACATTTTATTTGTATGTTACATGTGTGTTTAAGTAATGTACACATATGTTTTGTTATTTTACAAGATTCCCTGATGGCCAGCGCAGACAGGAACGTTTAGGAGAGGCTTGTCCATCTTTACATACAGTGGGGACCAGCAGTGGGAAGAGTGCAGCGCCAGGAGTGGTCCATTAGGGGGCGCACCGAGTGTCTGATCAACCCCAGTTAGAGACAGTAACAGGATGGAGGGAGCAGGGGTCCACATCGTCACATTCGTCCTCACTGGGGGGCAGGGGTCTTCTTAATCTGAACAGTTTATTTGCTTGCTGGATAGTGTTTATAATCTCTTCATCCCCCCCTCTCCTCCCCAGATTGAGGCGAGTGGATGACGGAGATGTGACTGGCCCACGTCACTCCGGACAGGGGGGACAGATGACTTCATTCACTCTGAGGAGAGAAACACTCGTTAGAAATGGAAGAAGTAGAAAGACAACACTTCTGCGCTGTGGTCGAGTCCAACTTTGAGCTGCATCTGTTCTGCATCTGCTGGAAATCATCCATCGAGCAGACCACATCTGGCCACTTATTCAGGAGCTTTCATACAAACAGCTGCTGTGCTTAAACGTTGGTGACAGGAGCAGATGAAAACACCAACGTACAGTCACAGCGGGGACCTCGTGTCAATCCTACGGTTTCATGAATCAACACACGATCAAGAGCGTCACAAACACTTGTCAGTGTAAACACCACCACAAACTTTATTGTTGTGGTGACAGGAGTCAAATCATGACATATTGTTGCTCTTGTCAACATTTACACGTTTATTAAAATGCTCTCTGAAAAGTGCCAACAACTGCTTTTAACAACACACAAATCATCTTCAAGTAACAATGACACATGAGGTTTCAATGTATTTTAACTTAAACAATATAAAGTATGTGCCCCAGAGTACTGCCCCGAAAAAAATTAAAATAAAAAATCAAAGACAACACTACATTGACCAGACACATTTCAGTCAATTAATTTGCAATAAATTTAGAACACTCAACATCACAATCTAAAAGGAAGAAATTCCACAGAGCTGGTTTTAGGACTCCCAGCGTTCTAAATAACTTTCAGAGTAGGAGCTGGAGTCATTTGCAACATAAAGATGTTCTGCACAGTGAAAATGTTTGTGAACACAGATGGTTTAAACACTGATGAAAATGTCTTACAAGCATCAGAAGCATTTGTAATGGGGGGGAGACACACTGCTGCTGGTGGTGGGGGGAGTCATGGGGATACTCCCCCAGAAATTTTTGAATAAAGTAGATGCCATTTCCTGCATTCTAATGCATTTTAATGGGTTAAACATCTATGTTTAACTACATAAGTAACTTGATTCAATAAATATTTTAGAGAGCAACAAGAAGAAGCCTGACCAACATCTCTCCTTGTGTGAATAGAGCACACTCCGCTTCTCTCACGCATCCCAACACCCCCACCCCGGTTGACAACTGCTGGCACTAATGCAGCGCCAAGCTAGTGTGCAACAGAGGTGTCTCCCCTTCCTCTTCCCGCCTCGTCGACAAAAAACCCAGAAGAGATGGGCGTCCCCTGCCAAGCCAAGTGACAGAGGAGAAACACTGCATGCAGTGTGGTGAGGAGTTGTAGGGAACCAGGAAAACCAGGAGTGGACTTTTAGTGGTTTCAGTACTGTAATTGTTAGTGTACAAGCCACTACTTTATTTTTTATTTTTTTATATATACTTTGTAACCCATGATTTATATGTGGGAGAATCTTATTTATGTATTTTTTTCATAATTTTCTTAAGTTATATTTTTATGTTATTTTGACAGACTTCCTGCCGCTGACTAACATTTTCCTTTGACAGAGCTGGGCACTCATGGCTCACAGCACCCCACCCCTCTTGGGGGGCAGACGCTTGTGGCAGAGAGAACGCCCTCAGGTAACCACATGTACAACAACTGTTGCTCATGGTTTCAAACTCCCTACCATAACTCCACCCACTCTGTCATGTGACCAGAAGTCTGACCTGAATGACCAACGAGGTAATCTCGGGGACCATCCCCCAAGATAGATGTGCATTAATTTCTTCAGATAGTTCCCGTGTTGTTCGTGTCACGCACAGACCTGTTCATTTGTTCAGCGAAAATGGAAAATGCATGGAGAATTTCTTATGATGCAGCTTTCGTGTTAAAAGCGATGGATCAGCTGTCAAGGAGGAAACGGAGCTGCCGCCTGTAAGCTTTGCATCAACGAGTTGAAGGTCGGGTATTGGAGACACAAAGCAATCAAATCTGGTAGATGTTTTAACAAAAGTTTTTAAATTATTTCTGTGTGACATCTTTCTGTGTTGGTAAATATACGTTTATATACCAGTATCTCAATTTAAACTCACATTCGAAAATGGAGTGGAGAACAATGGGAGAACAGCGGAGAACAACAGGAGGGGTTCTTCCCCCCTCCATTTTCTGTCATGAGAGCTCAACGGTGAAGTCGTCAGATTTATTTTTAAAGCAGTCAGTCAGTCAAGACTGATATATATTTAAATAAGTTTTAAAAAATATTTCTGTGTATGGTAAATATGTGTTTAAATACCAGTATCTCATTTAAGCTTAAACAGGGGCATTAAACAGAGCGGAGGAGACAACGGGAGGGAGGGAGGGGCTGCTCCCCCTTCCTCCCTCCTGCTCATGGGCTCTGCTGAGGAGAAATCACATCAAATTCATTTAGAAAGTACATTTAAAAACAGCGGCTGTTAACAATACTGTTTAACAATAAAAATCAATGGTACTAACTTAATGAATATTTCATTTGACTTCCGGTAACATGACCTCGATAAGACTACTGGGTAATATTTACCGGTAAATAATTTACATAATTTCAGTTACGTAGGTGTTAGAGACTGTTCTGTCCAGTGATTATGCTAAGATAGTTATCGTGTTCATTTTGAAGGTATAATGGTTGTAACCATGAGTCAGACAGTGAAGCTTCATGAAGACTCCTGCAGATCTTGCAGTGACGCTATGTTGAAAGCAACCTATAGTCTTTGAACGCAACCCGGTGGATGAATCTTGTACGGGTTGAATCTTGTACTACAGTAAGAAAGCTGCACACGGCTGGCCACAGTTCCTGATGATGAACGGTAGATGGCCGGGGCTAAATAACTGGAGCGTCTTATTTGCGTACAAAATTATGATTCATCTTATATTGGATATGTGCGGCTTAGAGACAGGTGCGTTCTGTAGCTCGAAAATTACGGTATTCTCTTATTGATCAAGTGGAATGGATTATTTCACAAAGAAATAGAAACAGCGCTGGGTGAACTAATATTTCATGGTAACTGGGGGGGTCCAAACAAATATTTTTTAAATGTGAGGGGGACGTGTCCCAATCACATTTAAACGACACGACGCCTATGCTTTAGAGCCGTCATTTCTAACCCGAACCCGAACCCCGGCCCGACCCAGATTAGGGCCGGTCTGGGCCGTTATAATGTGATTAATGTGCGGGCCAGGCAGGTCTCGGGCTCTGATGCAGCTTTACGAATCATACAGCACAAATAAAATGAGAAGCTGAAGAAAGAAAGAAAGAACAGTGCAGCAGTTAATCAGACTGTGGAAGAGATCACCAGCGCATTGCGCAATCATTGAGCACATGGGCTCAGGCTCCTGCGGTTTTGCGAATCGTACAGCACAAAAGAAACTAAATAAGAAATATAAAACTGTGTTAATCTACTTGTCGAGGAGGAGTCAGGTCTGACCGGCCGGTTGAAAGAGGTTTAAAAAAGTTGTGTTAAGCTCAAATGGACACCTGTCACCTGCCGTGTGCATCCGCTGACTCGCCGGTTGAAATGCGACCTGTCCAGGGTGTGCCCCACCTTTCGCACAGTGACTGCTGGACATTGGCACCAGCGACCACCGCTACCCGAATAGGAAGAAGCGGGTAAAAGATAACGGATGGATGGATCAATCAGCTGAACGGATGGATGAGTCAGCTGATCACCGGCCGCGCGCGTCTCCACACCTGCTGTCATATGTGGTGAAGGAAGTAGCAGCATCTACAAAAGCTGAAGTGAGCAGTGCATTAATTTAAAATAACCTTGTTCTATATTTTCCAAATAATTTTGCTCTAAAATATTTTTGTTCATCTGTATAACAGCCTGTCTTTACAGTTGATTTTTTAGGCTATTTGTTTTGCATGTTAATATCCATTTGGTGACTTATTAATAAAAAGAAATCTTATATCTTCCTTTCATTACGTTTTTAAAACTATCGTGTCAAAATGATTTGCTTAGAAAAGTAAAAGGTAAAAAATAAAAAGTAGGGTTTTTTGTTTCTTTTTTCCCCTCAGGTTCGGTCCTCTAATTACCGGTAATCTGTTGGGTCCGGGTAGGGCTCGGAAAAAAAAAAAAAATACCAGCGTGGTCCGGGCCATATTTATTAGGCCCGAATGCAACTCTACTATGTTTACCTGCATTGCAGGCATGCAGAGTCTTTTTTTTTTCTTCTTCTTTCAGCTGATCCCTTCTTCAGGGGTCGCCACAACAAACTAATAATAATAATAATAATAATGTCATCACAATGTCAGCACTGTATGTTTCCATACAATGGCGAAATTAGTCTCTGCATTTAACCCATCCACCACCAGGTGGTGCAGTGGGCAGCTATTGAAAGCTCCCGGGGGGGCATTTTGGGGATGAGGCGTGCTGCCCAGAGACGCCACGTGATGTGCAGTGACTGGGGATCGAACCTGGGACTTTCGGGTCCCAAGCCGGCTGCCCTGCCTCTACACCATCTCGGCCCCCAAACTAACAACTCACATGAAGAATTATCAATTACTTTTACACCGGATACCCTTCCTGACTCAACCACAGACCACCGAACTACCACAGCCCTCTGTGTGGAGAAAAGAGCTGCCATTTAGGGTGCCCGGGGGGAGCAGATGGTGGGGCCTTGCTCAAGGGTCCAGAATGAGGCAAATGAGGGTGGAGGCAGGTGTGGGTATTTCACCTATCCCACGCACACTTTGATGTTGTCGGTACCAGGAGTTGAACCAACAAACTTCCGATCACATACCCACCTTCTCTAACCTCTGCGCCACCACTCCCTACAATTATGAAGTCATAATCAGCAGCAGCTGTCAATCAATTTTGTAAAACAAGATAACATATGCTGTGGAAAGAGATGTCTGGTTGAACCTCAGATCCAGGAGGAACAACGTGGGTTCTGTCCTGGCCGTGGAACACTGGATCGATCAGCTCTTTACCCTCACTAGGGTCCTTGAGGGGTCATGGGAGTTTGCCCTTCCAGTCTACATGCGTTTTGTGGACTTGGAGAAGGAATTTGACCGCGTTTCTCGAGATAGACTGTGGGGGGTGCTCCGCGAGTATGGGATTGGAGGCCTGTTGTTCAGTCCCTATACAAGCGGTGCGAGAGTTTGGTTTGCATTGCTGGTAGTAAGTCGGACCCCTTCAGGGTGGGAGTTGGACTCCGCCAGGGCTGCCTGTTGTCACCAATTTCGTTCATAACTTCGACAGAATTTCTCGGTGCAGCCAGCGGGTGGAAGGATTCCGGTTCGGTGGCCTCAGGATTCCATCTCTGCTCTTTGCAGATGATGTGGTCCTGTTGGCGTCATCGTGACATGATCTTCTGCTCTCACTGTAGCGGTTCACAGCAGAGTGTGAAGCGGCTGGGATGAGAATCAGCACCTCCAAATCCAAGGCCATGGTCCTCAACCGGAAAAGGGTGGATTGCTCTCTTCAGATCGAAGGTGAGGTTCTGCCTCAAGTAGAGGAGTTCAAGTATCTCGGGGTTTTGTTCTCGAGTGAGGGAAGAATGGATCGTGAGATTGACAGACAGATTGGTGCAGCATCTGCAGTATTGTGGACTCTGTACCGGTCCGTGGTGGTGAAGAGAGAGCTGAGCTGTAAGGCAAAGCTCTCTGTTTACTGGTCGGTCTACATTCCTACCCTCACCTATGGTCACGAGCTCTGGGTAGTGACCAAAAGAACGAGATCGCCGATACAGGCAGTTGAAATGAGTTTTCTCTGCAGGGTAGCTGGACTCTCAGAGATAGGGTGAGAAGTTCAGTTATGCAGGAGAGACTAAGTGGAACCGCTACTCCTCCACGTCGAGAGGAGCCAGTTGAGGTGGTTCGGGCATCTGGTAGTGATGCCCCCTGGGTGCCTCCCTAGGGAGGTTCTTCGGGCATGTCCAACTGGGAGGAGACTCCGGGGAAGACCCAGGACACGCTGGACAGCCTATGTATCTCGGTTGGCCTGGGAACACCTTGGAATCCTCCCAGAAGAGGTGGAAGAGGTGGATGTGGAAAGAGACGTCTGGGCCTCCCTGCTCAAGCTGCTGCCCCCATGACCCGACTTCGAAACAAGTGGAAGATGATGGATTGATGATATAACATACATTTTCAAAAACCTAATAATTAATTATTTCACAAAGAATTTATCTTTATTCTTTATCTTGCTGCAGTCCCAGCTGAATGCATGCAGAGCAAAAACTTCACTTTGTTTTCTCTAACTGCAGACATCATCATCATCATCATCATCATTATTATTATTATTATTATTATTATTATTATTATTTGATAACAATAATAAAGCGTGAGGTCGTGAGACAAGCAGAGCATTAAGCCAGTACCCAGTACCTAGCGCATCTGTATTGCACACCACTAGCTTAGCGCTATGTCGTCAGTGCCGACAGTTAACAACTGTGTGTGTGTGTGTGTGGGGGGGGGGGGTGTATTGTGGGTGAAGGACATTTTGATAGGCAGGGCACTTAGTTTATCCAAGGAGGGCTCCCCGCCCCGTCAACAGAACCAAGCGCACCATCTATCGAACTGTCAACTGACAGACACGCCAACTAAAAAGCTACAGATAGCGCTCCGCTTCCCTCACCGCGCAACACAGACTTGTCTCCATCCCACCCCCATAAGCCCCCAGTACGGACGTACGCGAGAGTATACTGGGGGCTTAACCCCCATCAAAAATCACGAAGAGACGAGTTCCCTGCCAAGGCATGTAACCCAGAGCAAACGCTGTCATGGGTGTTTTGTGACAGCAATAGAAGCAGAAAACATTTAAGGGGTGAAAACTTTTTATCTGCACCGCATGTCCTTTTTTAAAATGATTTATAAACTTATTTTTGTTTTAACAAAAGCTGCAGTTTTATGTCATTAATGCACATCTGTTAAGATGACGGTTAATGTAACTTTGACCTCGATCAACTTGGTTTTTTAAATTTATTGTCCCATCTCATAGAAAAATAAACCTACATTTCTGTCTGACAATATTAAAGATTCGGTGCACATGCACACATTACTGAGGCTGACCTTATGTGAGCTTTTTTGCTTTGCTGTAAAGTGAGTCCACCACTTTGCTCATGTTCTGAATGGTCTCCAGCGCTGCCTCGTAGGTCTTGTCCACCACCGGCTCTTCAAAGACAATCAGCACACCTTCGCCTTGGTCCAGTATACCTATCAGTGGGAAGGATGGCACACAGAGACAAAATGTGTCAAAATACTACAACAAACCATCGATACCTACAGGCACGCACCGATTTTCAAAATTTGAGAAAAAATAAAAAATAAAGCTTCCAATTTACCGTGAAACTTCTGGTCCAGAATCATCTGTGATAATTTCCTCTCCACATCTCCCTGCAAGGTACACAAAGTCTGACTGCAACCATCCAGCAATAAAAACAACTGATGCTTCAAACAGCTCAATGGTGCCAAGTGAAAATAAAAACTGGTGGCAACGCTCACCTTAGAGAGTTTGATGAGGGAGGAGACGTGTGTAATCTGTCAGGGGGGAGACAGTGTTTCAGGTGTTAGGCAGTGATAAACGTACAGAGCTGCTCAGTCTGGACAGAGCTCAGTGTTTACCTGGACCCTGGAGAAAGGCTCAATGACCCGGATGAGATTTTGCTCCAGCAGGTTGTCGTACAGCTTTGTCAGGTGGGTGCTAATGATGGGGTCGTCCCTCAACTCTGATTTGTAATCCGTTAGTGCCTAAAGACGGTAAAAATGGGACATTTATTGTAAATAAATGGAAGAGACTGCAGCTGTACTGACTGTGTTTTAATCCAACTAGTTTGTCTACAGCCACGTAAAACAACAACGCATCAACAATCTGATAAAACAAACCTTCTCAAAGTCTGCCAGAGATCGGTTCTTACTGGCGTGTGCCACACACTTCAGAGATTCTGTCTGTGAGGAACAAATAAAGAAGAGCTGATGGAAAGACTGCAGACAGAAACATTAAGGTTGAAACTGGACTGAAACATAAAGAACCAGCAGCTACAAGATCTCTGCCGAGTCTGGGCCCATCCCTAATGACTAGGGGTGTAACGGTACATGTGGGTGTAACGGTACATGTGGGTGTAACGGTACACGTGGGTGTAACGGTACATGTGGGTGTAACGGTACACGTGGGTGTACCGAACCATTCCAGTACGTCATGTTCAGTTCGGTCCACGTGTGTACCGTTTCGGTTATTTTTTCACTCATTAAATTTTATTAACAAGAGATTATGCACCGCGGAACTTAAGTTCCTAAGCGTGTTTCAGCACGGTGCTATTATCTTGCAGCACGCGTAGCATTAGCAGCCTAGCAGGCAACAAACGAGCCATCTCGTTGTGGTCCCCTGTTGGGGAACATTATGTCTTTCTTGTTAAAAGACAAGTGAACAAGTCCAAAGCTGTGTCGACGTTGTTTCAGAGAGTTTGGATCTGCAGCAGCAACACGTCGAACTTGTGAACGCTCTTGAAACGACATCATCCGAACGTGAACGTCTCTTCTACAGAAAAGCAGCTTGGTTGGTGCAAAGAGCGATAGCAGCAGCATTTAAACCTTTATCAGGTCATTCAGATCCAAAGCTGACCTACGTCCATATTCTGTTGTCGATGCGCCGGCTTTAAACATATGATTAAAGTTATTGAGCCCCGCTGCGACATCCATCACGTCAACACCTCAAACAAAAAGTTGGAGCAGCACTTTATGAAAAAGCTACAACTGATATTGTCAACAAGCCCTGGAGCAGATTTAAAGCCCTGCCCTGATGATGAGATTCAACCACCACACATGAAAACTGTGCAAGAAGAGGTATTGTATTATTGTGATCTAATTAACTTTTTAAATTTAAAATTATAATCTTAACTTTTTTACATTCAACCTTTTTTTTTAAATCTCTGTGTTGTTTGCAGTGTGAGGATGATCGCAGCAGAGTCTTCTTCATCCACCAGGTCACCTCCAGCTAAGAAGTCTGTAATGACTGAACTTGTTTATTTGGCATATTTTCAAAATAAACATTGTGTAAATCTTTATTTTGGCTTTTTTGTCCCGAAGATTAACGGAACCGAGCCCTCCTTGAAACTGAACCGAACCTAAATGTGATTGTAGCGTACCGTTACACTCCTACTAATGACAGAGGTCAAAGAATGGCACTTTCAGACCAGAACCATTTGTCTTCTACAAGAACACGTGACTATTTTTACAAACATTAAATGTGCCTCAGTTTGCAAGCTTTGAATTTAAATTCTGACTCCATGAGAAAAGTTGTGAGGAACCAAAGAAGTGTGGAGCAAACTCAGCTGTATCGACTTGGAGCGCAAACATCACATGGCACGAAGACACACCAGGAGTGGGTTGGCTTCAACCCCTCTCCACCTCAGTCACAATATTTATTATTTGTTTTTATTACAAACTCTGCTAAATCCGTCTCCACCCTGACCATGAACGAGCTACAGCTCATGCCCTAAATTCCTCGGCTTCCAGCCTCTTTTCCCTCCTGTCTCCCAACAACTGTGCACCCACTGGACAGAAACAGTTATTAAATACTACTTACTAAGTATTTCACACACAGGTTTAAACTTAATGCTTTTTAGTGCCATTAAAGGCCTTAAATTTAGCAAAACCTATTTAGAGGACAGAGATGGTGTAAAGGTAGGGCAGCCAAATTGAGACCAGAAAGTCGACTCCTCGTCGTAGTAGTGCCTCTGAACAGGACACCTAATCCCTAATTACTCCCCGGGTGCTTACATAGCCGCCCACTCTCCACTGCGCAATACATACAGTACACGGTAAAAACTATAGACATTTAGCCTATGATAGAGATCTGTCTTCTACCGGCTAACTGCAGTAATGCTGTGTCTGATGTGAAATCAGAGTTCTCTGATTTAATTGTTACTTTTTTGAGTTTAAAACTGTGCGTAAGTGGTGTTAAAAGTCATTTTTTCAAGAGCGAAGTAGCGAAGCTACAAGCTAACTACAGCCGGCTTGCCGTACTCTTACTCGGATGCATGCGCACAACGCTGCGTTCAGTCGAAAGTTGTTGTTTTTTTTGTCAAAAGTTCGTTGGTCAGCTTTGAAGAGTGCATTTGAGCTAAAAAAAAAAAAAAAAAAGGGGGTTCAACCTGCTCTCTGATCTGTGAAAAGAACGCTGTGTTGTGTGATTTTACTGCGAGACCCTCTGGTCAAAGCCACAGAGGAAACTGGTCACCATTTTGTGTCAGCTCTACTTAAAGCGGAAGGAGACGCCCACTAGAGGGTTGGAGGGTGAAGTGTTTTCAGTTGCTGCTCTTTTGCTGTTCATTTATAAAGTGAGAAGACTGGAAACTGTTAAGAGTTAACAATGTATTCTTTTGTTTGAAACGTATGGCTAAAACTACATTTGATAGTTTATTTTTTATAGAGATGTTTCGCTGTAACAGTTTACTGGAACTCCTCTGACTGATGAAGTCCTCCGGATAGAGGGTGAAACATCTCTATAAAAAAGAAACTGTCCAGATATCGTTACCGCCACTCATCACAATACATATCATGATATGAATTTTATGCCATATCGCACATCCCTACTCTCCACCTGGGTGCATCTCAGGAGTGATGGGTTAAATGCAGAGAACTACTTTCATCATTGTATGGGGACATACACTGATGACAATCTCAGACTTCTCTTCCTTATAACTTTTTATTGCACGCTAAAAACCCTGGATGAAGAGAAACGAAGAATCAAACGTCATACCTGTCTGCCTGTGTATCGCAGAGCTAGTTTGCCGCTGATGAGGGCCTGAACATCCTCTGGGCTAAAAATAAAAAAAAGATCATTAAAAGCCAATATACATCACATTTTTCCAAAGAAACTGAATTTTTTTTTACAACTACATGTGATAACGCTGAAAATATTTATTGAAATGAAAAAGAGTCCGTGTCACCACTAGAGATGTTCTGATCGATCGGCCACCGATCATGATCAGCCGATTTCCAATAAAAGCAAGTGATAGTCCAATACCGATCAATGCCTTTCAGTGCTAATCACAAAAACCGATCACCCCTGCAGCCTGCAGAGTTCCGGTGGTTTATATATTCAAGCAATGTTTTGAGATTTATTTGACTTTCTGCACTTTTGAGCCTGTTGAGTCTTAATACTTTCAATAAAGATCCTGTTAGTGACAGCAGCTCAGTGTTTTTCTGTCGTCCTGTTGACTGAATAGTTGCTGTACTGTGCCCACACCTTTACAGTTTTTGTTTTGAAAAAGTACATACAAACCTGTTTTTGTTCAAATGAAGGTGATTGTTATTGTTGCTATTTTCCAGATCAAGAAGCAAGTAGCACTCATCTTAACTAAATCAAAACATTTATATCCGGTCCATGTGAATGGTATCTGTGATCGGCAGACAAAACCCCGAGCGGATTATCCCTAGTCATCACATTAGCTTGATGTTCTCTGCTCCTAGCATGAAGTCCAACACTCACGCGTTGAGCATGATTTTGCAGAGCAGCATGTATTTCAGGGCTGTAATGGCTCGCGGGCTGTCGATAGAGTCGTAGCCCTCAAAAGCTTCATAGAAGTATGAGTAAGCAGTCTTCCAGTCCTTCTCCTCTGCTGCATGAATGATCCCTGGAAGCACAAACAGATCAATCAGGTCCTGATCACGTTCATGACGTTTTGCAGCTTTGGAGACGTTTTATTTGACGAGCAAAGAGCTCTTGACTGTAAATGTTGCAGACCTCCAACCTGGACGTTTCTCTTCGTACCTGATTGCATGTCTAAAGCTGCTTGCAGTTTGGGGGGGCAGTAGATGGCGTTGGCGGTGGTCCTGGCAGAGGTAAGTGCAGCGCGGGCCTTGGGCAGGTTACTGAGCGCGTGGTAAGTCTTACTCTCCAGCAGCTGGACCTCCACCAGCAGAGCTTTGTCGTCCATCTTCTTGAGCTCCTGCAGCAGCTGGGAGCCTGAAGGAGGCGGGAGGACACAGAGGTGAGGGTTTGAGCGTGTTGCTGCAGGTCAGACAAAGGTAGACACAACTCTGCACTCACCAAGTTGTAACGCCTCCTGGTAGCACTTTGTGTCAAAATACAGTGAGATGAGTCGAGCCTGAGGAGAAGAGAAATTATTTCTGGTTTAATCTACGATGGATTACACGTGTTGTTGTCATGTTGCTGACAGATGAACAGCAGAACCAGGAATTCAATGGGTAACTGTTTTAGACAACATGTCAGAGGTCAGCGCAACAAGGAGGGAGGAAAGAGATCAAAAATGTTTGATCAGCTCCAACACATAAAGGCACTGTTCCTTACAGTACAAAAAGGATCGTTTACTTCAGGTAATGTGGCGTAAACTATGTACAAAGTACAATTCATTACAGAACAGAACACTTCCAAATATGAAAATACAAAATAAAAGCACAGCTGTACACAGGTGGAACTTATTGAACACTGGAGGACATATTTATGGTTTGAAAAATAAAAAAGGACAATAAAAAAGGTTGAATCATGTCATCTGGACTTCGTTTTGTTTTGTTAAAAAGAAACGTTTCGCCCCTCATCCAAGAGGCTTCGTCAGTCTGAGGACAAAGGACACTGTTGTTCCGACACCCTCCTCTCTCTCTCTCTGCACTGCTTCAGTGGCTCACAGCAAACTTTTCTCTGATGCTGATTTGAAACAAGGCGGCTGCGTTCGCTGCAGGCTGAACCCTCATGGTTCATACGTGGAACTCCACATCATTAACACTAGTGGTGTAACGGTACACGTGGGTGTATTGAACCGTTTGTTATTTTTTCATTCATTAAATTTTATTAACGAGAGATTATGCGCCGCGGAACTAAAGTTCCTGTGTGTGTTTCAGCACGGCGCCATTATCTTGTAACACGCACAGCATTAGCAGCCTAGCATCCCGTTGCGGTCGCCTGTTTGGGAACATTATGGATTTCTTGTTAAAAGACAAACGCAAATCCAAAGCTGTGTGTCGACGTTGTTTCACGGAGAGTGGATCTGCAGCAGCAACACGTCGAACTTGTGAACGCGCCTGAAACGACATCATCAGAACGTAGTTTGGTTCAAAGAGCGATAACAGCAGCATTAAACAACCTTTATCAGGTGATTCAGATCGGTTCAAAGCAATAACACAAGCTGTAGGAGATTTTAAAGCTGTGGATCTACGTCCGAATGTTGTCGATGCGCCGGCTTTAAACATATGATTAAAGTTATTGAGCGCCGCTGTGACATCCATCACGTCAACTCTTCAAACAAAAAGTTGGAGCAGCACTTTATGAAAAAGCTACAACTGATGTTGTCAACAAGCCCTGGAGCAGATTAAAGCCCTGCCACATCAATGATAGAGAGAGAATATTCAACCACCTCATATGATGACCGTGCAAGAAGAGGTATTGTATTATTGTGATCTAATTAACTTTTTAATTTAAAATTATAATCTTATTAACTCAATTTTTTTATATCTCTGTGTTGTTTGCAGTGTGAGGATGATCGCAGCTGAGTCTTCTTCATCCACCAGGTCACCTACAGCTAAGAAGTCTGTAATGATTGAACTTGTTTATTTGGCATATTTTCAAAATAAACATTTTATAAATCTTTATTTTGGCTTTTTTTGTACTGAAAATTAACCGAACCGAGCCCTCCTCGAAACTGAACCGAACCTAAATGTGATTGTAGCGTACCGTTACACCCCTACTGCTAACAGAACCACGCTGCTAACAGTAATAGTGTTTATAACTTTTTTATTGTGGTAGATTGTGGTCTGTACTCTACATGTCTTCTGTCTAAAACAGGTCTCTCTTGAAAACGAGTCCTCGTGACTCAGAGTACCTAAATAAAGGTTAAATACACTAAAAATAGGATTAATTTTCTAAATATGCATCAACATTGACACAAGACCTTCTGTTGAAGAAAACTCAGATCAGTGTCTACGTCAGTCCATGACACACGTTTCAGCCGCAGTAGAGATCGCTTCTATCCCACTTCGACTAGTTTTCTAATTATGCACCCGTTTGTGCCTTCGCCCTGCAGGTTTGATGTTGCATGGACTAGTTGGACTTAAATACGTGCCTGGATTGTTTTATTTCAAACAACAGTTTGCTGTTTGCACCGAGCTATAAATCACACTCTTTCACACACTCTTTGCTTTTCTGCAACTATAATAAACACACAAGAGCCTGTCCATGCAACATCAAATACTGTAAGCCCAAGTGAGACAGCAGCTTTGACGCTAAACATTTCGGTACATGTGCCGTCAGTTTGTGACCTTTTGACATCACTGTTTAAATAAACAGGAAGACAAATTTAAAGTATCAATGCAACATTCAGAGTCAGAGATTCTTTATTGTCATTCACACCTCATGTGGTACATGTGGTGGAGCAAACTTATGTACACAGGGTCCTAGTTACATCCAACAATAAAATGTATAAGAAAAACAGTAATAACATCTAAGATATGAACTAAGAAAAACATCAACTAAATATACACTAAGCACTCATAACATAAAACATTGAACATCAGCACAAACATGAACATGAGTCTGTGAGCAGATGTGCACGCATGAACACATCAACATTGAAACAGATCAGCAGCAACATGAAACAAATCAGCAGCAACATGAAACAGATCAGCAGCAACATGGTGTGGTTTTTCACAGTGATTATTTTAGTTAGAGATTCATGAGTCTAACAGCTTCAGGGTAGAAGCTGTTCCTCAGTCTAGTGGTTCTACACTTAATGCTCCTCAACCTCCTTCCTGAGGGGAGTGGAGCAAAAAGTGTGTGTGCTGGGTGAGTGGGGTCCTTCATGATGCAGGTGGTCCTCTTCCTGCATCTGGAGGTGTAGATGTCTGTGATGGTGGGGAGACTGACTCCAACAGACTTCTGTGCAGCCTTCACCACTCTCTGCAAAGCTTTTCTTTCTGCAGCTGTGCAGCCTCCATGCCACACATTGATGCTCGAGCACAGGATGCTCTCCACTGCACACCTGTAGAAGGAGGTGAGGACTGAGCTTCCCAGACCAGCTCGTCTCAGCCGTCTGAGGAAGTAGAGTCTCTGATGAGCTTTCTTGATCAGGCTGGTGGTGTTGTTGCTCCAGCTGAGGTTGTCATTCATGTGTACACCCAAGTACTTGTAGCTGGAGACCACTTCCACCGCAGATCCTCTTATGTTCAGGGGGGTGTAGATGTTTTTGTTCCTTCTGAAGTCCACAATCATCTCCTTTGTCTTCTTCACATTGATGTGAAGGTTATTCTCTCTGCACCAGCTCTCCAGGTGTTCCACCTCCTGCCTGTAGCTGGACTTGTTATTTATGATGCATCCCATCACCGTATTCTGAACAGTATTCTGAATTCCCATATTCTGAACAGAGTGAAGAGGTTCTGTGCAAAAAAGCTTTAAATATTTTATCTGCTGCAGACTGATCTTGAACAACCTCAGTTTAGAGAAATAAAGTTTAATTACAATTGTCTTGATGGTGGGAGAAACACCAAAGCCAGTAAATCACTACTTCCTCCTTTATCTAAAATGGAGTCTGACCGATATGGAAATTTTGGTTATTGCCGATACCAATAATGGGAGGGGAAGGCGACCACCGATAACAGATATAATTGCTGAAATGTTTTGTCCCCCCCCCAACAAGAATCTCAGTAAACAGCAAGTGGAGCTGGGCTTGTTTATTTAGCGCACCCGTTAGCAATCAAGAAGCTAAGCTAATCAGATCCACGCTATACGCAGATCCACTGAAGGTTTACAAGTGGTGCACTGGTCACAAAAACAGTCTTCCTAACGTGCGTTCACATTTTCTATCTTCCACTATTCACCATAAAGTTATCAAATGTGTTACAAAAATATAAATAAACAAAGAAACACTGTTCCCTGTTCATTGTTTAAACAGTCCGTCACGTATGATGAAGGTCTAATTGTACAGAAAGAATAGGTGACGATCTACTTGGGGAAAAAAAATCCATTAAATTCTCTAAAGATAGTTTAGATACAAACTGACAACAGTCTAATCATTTAGTAAACTGAATTTTGTTATGAAACTATCCTTTTTGGGCTTGATTACAGTCAGACTAGTCATTGGTTCATCGCTCTTGTAAGAAATGAAATTAGTTTCTCCAAACTGTGCTTGCTGAAAGAGCCATCTAGAACAGGAAATATACATTTTCATAGCCCTTTCAACCAAAACCCCACTTGAAAATGGACAAAATATCCCTTTAACAGCTAGAAAAAGTCTGCAGTTGTCTGAGACTTTACAATACAACAACATAGAGTGGACAATATGAACAAGGCAACTTAACTTTCAAAGACTCAATCCAGTTTTCATTTTTTCCACACAGCGCATGAAACATGAAGCAAGGCTTCATCATCTGACAACAAACAACAAGCCACTCCAGCGGCTGGAGATGCCACTTAGGGATGAGCCTCACCTCTAGTGCCTGTCTGAGGAAAGTCCTCTTCTCAGCCTTGGCCCACTCGATGCACTCCAGGCACAGCTCCACCTCCTGACCCGTGGCTGCTTCCATGTCCAGGAACAAGTCCAGCAGGGAGCGAACCAGCCGGGCTGCTTTGGCCTTGGAGATGGAGTTGAGGAAGGGCCGTACATACTTCAGGAGGCCTCCGAGCTCTGAGAAGTAGAGAAACCTTAGTAAATGTTATTTCACTGTTTTAGCTCTTATTGTTTGAATCAAGACAGCCATTTTGATCCATTGTGGCAGAACCAGATGTCCCTTTGAGAAACTCCCATCCTGCTCAGATTACCTGCAGCTTGGCCAGTCTTTGCCAGCAGCCCCCCCAGCTCCAGGATGCTCTGCTCTTTAACACGCACCGCTTCCTCATCGCTGTCCTGGATGTCCCTCTTCACTAAAACACACACAGAGCAATGATGTCATTTGCTTCAATACGAACTACAGCAATGCACAATGAAAACACCGGCGTTCATTGGTACTTCCGGTTTTCAAGACCACTTAAGTGAAACTATGTCATGAGCCGACTGTAAAGGCATACAGCCAAGTGGCTAACGAAGCTACTGTAAATACAGGAGTCCATTAATTACACAACGAAAGCAGGTCCACAGCTTGGCTTTCAAACGCACATTAAATATACTAGACAAAAAGCAAAGCGCTTCATTATGTGCTATTCTACATTATATTGTAAATTCATTTACGGGCCTGAACTGTGAACACTCACAGCAGCTAGCTAACAGTTACTAGCCGGCTGTCACAACTTGCAGCCAAATGAATGAGCCGTCAGCTCGGGCTGTGCTGTGGAGCTGGCCGGTGTGCTGCTGACTCACTCCAGCAGAGCGCACGGCTAACACTTAGCTGCGAGGCTAACTAGCACGGCTAGCTCACTGAACACTGGCTGAAAAGCTCGCGTCATGCCCGAGCGTGAAACTGCTCTGACCCCACTGCCCGCCTGCGTCGATTATATTTACCTATAGAATGTAAGATATCGATAGAGGCATTCTGGTCAGTTCCAACAAGAGACCGTGCTCTCTGAAACTCAACCACGGCCGCGGCTGCCATTTCTCTGCTCCCGATCTCTTCTTCTACCCGCGCGGCTTCCGGTTGGGTGTTCAAATGTTTGGAAGGATGCTGCCCCCTACAGGTGGCAACGAGCACACACACGATGGACGCTTTAAATTTAATTAACCTTTATTTAATTAACCTTTATTTAATTAACCTTTATTTAAACAAGTAGTCTCACTGAGTCATGAGGGCTCATGTTCAAAATAGTCCTGTTTGCGAACAGTGGTGCAGAGGTTAGAGAAGGTGGGCCTGTGATCGGAAGATCGCTGGTTCATCTCCCAGTACAGAAAACATAGAAAAAAAAAATGTGGGTGGGAAAGGTGAAGCACCCACACCTTCCTTCACCCTCATTTACCCCACTCTGTGCCCTTGAGCAAGACCCTTAACCCCCACCCTCCACTGCACTGGGTGTCCTAGACAGCAGCTCTCTGCTCCACACAGAGGGCTGTGGTAGCTCGGTGTCTGTGGTTGTGTCAGGAAGAACATCTGGCGTCAAAATAATTGCCAAGTCTTCGTACGATTTAGTTCACTGTGGCAACCCCAGAAGAAGGGAGCAGCCGAAAGAGAATAAATAAATACATCTTGGATTTTAGATGGCCAAGTGCATAAAATTGTTCAGAAGACCATGCCAAATTTAATCCTTTTATCAAATTTTGCACAAATCATGTGCAAATTTGGTTTTATTTAAAATTGGTTCTATTACTCACCTTCCACCATTTGGTCTTCTTCTATGGTTTTACTCGTTTTCGCTTCTTCACAACAACAGTCATTCTACACACAACCATCTGATGTTGTCTGGCCACGCTCTCCCCTGCCACAACTTCACAGTCTCCAACCCCCCTCAGGTTTCCTCTTCTACACCGAATGTAGTCGACCTGCGTACTCCTTCCTCCACTCTTATAGGTCACTCTATGTTCCTCCCTATTTTGGAAATACCACGTGGGCAGGTGTTGATTTCAGCCATTCCCATTTGGGCAAAATCCACCACCATTTGTCCGCCCAAATTCTTGACAGCAATTCCACCCATGACTTCTCATCCTCAGTTTCCTTCACCAACATGGCCTTTTAGCTCTGTTCTGATCACCACTCTCTCTTCCCTGGGAATACTCTCCATCACTTTATCCAGATCCTTCCAGATTTTCTCTTTCCTTTACTACACATTCAACTTGTGGAGCACAACCACTGACAAAATTCAACATCCAACCTTCTTTTACCTTGAAACATATATTATCTGATACTCTTTTCAACTCTTCTGTTTGTTGCCAACTCCTCCTTCATGACCACCCCTACTCCATTTCTCTTCCAGTTCACACCACAGTAAAAGTTTAAACCATGTACCATTGCTGCAGAACTTACTGTCATTCCACCTGAACCAGACACTGATTGGTTGAGTTTTCGACAGATGAGGAATAAATGCACAACTGCTGTCAAAGCTGCAAAATGTAACTATTTCTTATCTCAGACCTCCAAAAATCTACATGACCCTAACAGATTCTGGAAAACTATCAAATCTCTCTCAGGCACCCCCCAATCATCTGACCTCCCATCACAACTTCTCATTAACTCTGTTCCTGTGTCAAATAAGCACGAGATCCTGAACTGTTTCAACAAACATTTTGTTGCTTCTGGTTCTTTATTTGACACAGTTACTAATGGAAAATCAGCCACTTCACTTAATAACCAAACTTCTACGAATCAAATCCCTCCTACCTCAGTTAAACACAGCTTCTCTTTTTCTCCATTCTCAGTCAGTGAGGTCAATAAACTGTTAAAGGTCTTGATCCTAAAAAATCTGCAGGACCAGATGAACTTCCACCTTATTTCTTAAGGCTGGCTGCTCATATCATCACAGTCCCTGTGACCCACATCTTCAATCTCTCCATAAGACAAAACTCCATCCCAGACACTTGGAAAACAGCCTTTGTTCTTCCTTTGCTGAAGGGAGGTGACCCCACCTCACTGAACAACTATCGACCAATCTCTAAACTCTGTATTTTAGCCAAGGTTCTAGAAAAACTGATAAACTCTCAAATCAAAAATTACCTGGACTCATTTAACATCTTACCTCCACATCAATGTGGTTTCAGGAAACAACACGGCACAACCACTGCTTCACTGAAGGTTCTTAATGACGTTGTTGAAGCACTGGATGCTAAGGATTATTGTGCTGCACTTTTCTTAGACCTGTCTAAAGCTTTTGACACTGTGGATCAGAACATCTTGTGTCATAAACTCTCAGAAATCAGTTTCTCAGATCACACCATTGGTTGGTTCTCTAACTATCTTTCAGACCGGAGGCAATGTGTTCAACATAATGGCACTTCCTCCAGTTATTTAACAGTCAACAATGGTGTACCACAAGGCTCAGTCCTAGGACCCACCCTCTTTACAATCTACATACATAATGTTGGTAAAAACATCCCTAATGCATCCATACATTTCTATACTGATGACACAGTTGTTTATTGTCGAGCTAAAACTGTTGCTAAGGCTTTCCAGCTTTTGAAATCTGCATTCAACTACATCCAGACAGATTTGTTTCGCCTCAAACTTGTCCTAAATGCCGACAAAACCAAAGGGATGCTTTTTTCAAATAGGAAGTCGGTCCCAGCAGTTCTTCCTCTGATCTCATCCTCAAATGGTGTCCCCATTGAGTTTGTTGATTCCTATAAATATTTGGGTATCTTGGTTGACTCACATCTCTCTTTTAAGCTCCATGTGGAAAACTTGATAAAGAAACTGAAAGTTAAACTGGGTTTCTTTTTCAGAAACAGATCCTGTCTAACCCTGAATGCTAGAAAACGCCTTGTATCTGTGACTTGCCTTCCCTCAATTGATTACAGTGACATTATTTACATGAACGCTCCTACAAGAACCCTGCAGATGTTGGATGCTGTCTATCATGGTGCACTAAGATTCATAACTGGCTGTGATTATCGTACCCACCACTGCACCCAGTATTCACTGGTTAACTGGACATCATTAACTTCACGCAGACTCTCTCACTGGTACATTTTCATCTTTAAATCACTTCTTGGTCTGCTGCCTTCATACATCTCCTCCTACATGTCTCTGCGTGAGTGCAGCTACAGCGTGCGCTCTCAGGACATTATTACCTGCAGTGTTCCCTCAGTGAGGACTGAACTAGGCAAGAGGGCCTTCTCCTACTCCGCTCCTGTTTCCTGGAATATCTTACAAAAAGATTTGAAGCTCTCGACCTTGACCTCTCTAAGTGGCTTTAAGAATCTGTTGGACTCCTGGCAGGGACCAATGCAGACATGTTCCTGTTTTTAGTTTTCTACATTCACCTTAGAATCTAGCTGTTTTTGTTAATTTTCTTTTTTTTAAATCCTATTTGTTTAAAAAAAAAAATCTGTATGCCTTTTTATAACTGTCTATTGTTGTTGCTGTTGTCCATTGTTGTCATCATTCTTTGTTGAAATCAGGTCTCTCTTGTAAAGGAGTCCTCGAGGCTCATTGGGATGTACCTGTCTAAATAAAGGTTGAATATGGTCTCTTGTACATATACCTTCCTTCTCTGCATCATGTCAGCCAGCTCTCTATCTTAGCCTGTAATAGTCCCTAAGTTTAGAGTTGCTGCCCTCAGTCCTATACCTTTGACTAACCTTTCTCCCTCTGTCTCCTGGCACATTTACCTCCTTGTGGTCTTCGACTAACAGTAGCACAGTTTTATCAACAGCACCAGTGGTAGTCGCTGTTAACCCGGGCCTCAGCTGATCCAGTATGGTGATGTTTGGACTGACTCGCACAACCCTGGCTTGGGACCGACACAAGAGATACACTTGCTTGTGCTCCCTAGTGTCTGGTTTAATCTGATGATAGTGTTTGAAATAACATTTGCAAAAATGGCTTTGAATTTTTAAAGATCAGGGTTGTTTACAGATGGAAACAAACTTTAAATGTGCTCAGCCAATTTTATTATCACTATGACCCAGGGACCCACTGCAATCTTGAAATAGTTTTTAGTTTCATACTATTATTTAGTACATTTTCACATCAGTTTCCTACTAGAAGTGCTACTGCTGCCACTATTTGCACTTGCACGACAAAATTATATGTACAGATTACGTACACAAGGCAGCACTGACAATAGTGTAAACAAATCTGTACAACAGTCTTTGAATGAATCACTATGAGTTTATGAAGAAAAGGAACTGTTATAAATCAGCAGTAAAACATTTTGGTCGTAGCTGAGTTTGGACTAGGTGCTAGCTTGTCAGTCTTTTTAGATGTACTTAGTTTTTAAAACTTTAGTCATTTAGGCGCCATCTACTACAAGTAAAATAATTTTCGACAATATTTGTTCATTGGTTTTACACAGAATACTTTTAACAAGTCTTAACTATCTACGCTGGTTTATCTAGACTTGCTTAGCATGTTTTGAAAATCATGATTTAAAGATAACTAGGAATGTTAATGGAAATTGAATTAATTTTAAATTACTATCAGGTGTACTAACAATGGCAGCAAATTTTATTAAAGTTATTTTTAATGTTTTAGGCAAAATACATCTCATTCAAACTTCTGAGAGGTCATCGCTGCATCTTCTACAAACCCACGTTCAGTTGATAAATTCTGCTAAAGCTAATCCATGTTTGTAAAGAGGTCAAGCTGATTGTCATTGTAAGTCCTTGTTGCAAACGTACAAGTGCCACTTTAAATAACGCTCATCCAGTTGTTTCAATTTACAGCATTTTAAACAACACATTTTCATTATGGCTTAAAATACTTCATAAAATTGAACAAAGCTGTAATTAATGAGTATTTTTTCACATCGATATTGAGAAATGTCAAAGATTTAACTTGCGATTTTCACCTCTCCAACAAATGCCTTCACACATTCAACTATGCAGATGAGTGTGTGGTTTATAAAGAAGCTTCACTGCAAACTTTAATACGAAGCTGTTGAAGCAGTCTGCTGAAAGCAAAGATACCTACAAAATATTTAAAATGTTGTTCAGCTGGCTCAGACACTTGGTGAGTAGGGAAGCGTATAGTGAGCAGAAAACTGCAAGTAGACATTTATATTAAAAACACAACTTTAATTTAGAAATACAAACAAGGAAATTAGATTTCAACAGAAAAGTGACTCATGATGACGGCGTCTTCGTCTACAGGACAACTGACAGGTAGTCACAAACCTGAAAGACAGAAAAAAGTTTTTCATACATTTTACGGTGACACAAATTTAATAAACTGACTGAACCATTTGCTTTTAGCTTCTAAGAGGAACCAATTTCACTTTTGTTGGTTGCCAACAGTTTATTTTAAAGATTACTGAAGATTAGGACACCTTCACTCTGTAATGACCCTGACCATGACCTACACTACATATTAGATTGTAAATGGATTGCAGCAAAGTTAAAAAAACAATCAAAAATAAATAAAATAAATCTCCTTCATTGGGAAAGTAATCATGGCACTATTTCACTCCTAAGGCTCACCAAACAGTTTTTTGTGCTATACGTCGTCAGCGTGCTCTTCTTGCACTCTCACTGAGCCTGTTCTCAGGATGACATCATCACAGACAGAGAAACTTACCACACTGAAACAACTTGAAACCAAACATCTCTAATAAATAACTAATCTTACTCGTTACTTTTGAATTTTGGTTTAACAGAATAATTTATTAAAACAAACTAATAATAACTAGCGTTAACAAAAAGGAGGGTACCATGAGAAAATGTTGAAATGTCTGTAGGCCAGTTTAAATTTAATGGTGCTGTTTGGTCTCGTGGTGTGAACCAAACTGGACATGGACCACAGACAGCTCAGGATGGAGCTACAAGACCATCTTCAAGCAGCTTGATGTCCCTGTCACAACAACTACACAGATTACTTTACTATACTATACTATAGTATACTACAGTATACTATACTACACTAACTACACTATATTATACTATACTATACTACAGTATACTACATTATACTATACTACACTAACTACACTATATTATATTATACTATACTAC